CTTCACACCAGAGACAACTGCAAATTCATCCGAGGTCTCTCCACTCAGCTGCACCCTCGCTCGCATACCACTGTGCAGACATTCAATTAAACTTACAAACTTAAGCGGGCAACCATACTTACCCAACACCAGCCTTGATGCCTCGCGGTTCACCGTAGCAAATGCCTTGGTGAAATCAACAAAAAGCGAGCACAATGGCTGGTGTCGTTCTCTGCACTTCTCCTGCAACTGCCGAGCCGCAGACACCATATCTATAGTGCTGCAACCCGATCGGAATCCACACTGCTCTTCCGCCACGTTCGGCTCCACAACCTGACTGACGAGGTGGTTGAGTGGGATTCGAGCAGCAACCTATACGACACAACGCAGCAAGTTGATGCCACGATAATTCGTGCCACATTGTTTGCTCCCTTTGTCCTTGCACAGGGGTAGCAAAGTGCATCCTTCAGCTCAGGAGGCACCACCTCCGCAATCCGAACGCGTTGAACCAGGTGGTACAGCACAGTCACCAACGCTTGTCCACTGTGTTTCAATACTTCAGGCGGGATCCTGTCGGCACCAGCACACTTGCCGTTTCGCAGCTGAGCAAGTGCTCTCTGCGTCTCATCCAGTGTCGGCGTGTCCACCAGACTCGCCTTCACATCGTGCTGCTTCAAGCCATTCAATGTAGACCAATCGATTGCTGAACAACAAGAGACAGTCAAAGTGTTTCCACCAGATCTGCATTATGTCTGCAGTCTGTGTGCAGGTAGCGCCTGAACTACCATCGATCAGCGTCCTCAAAGGCTCCAAGCACGGTCCAATGAGTCAAAGAATTCCTTGTGTTGGCGACTTTCGGCGTAGCGTTCCATCTGCTTCGCCTTCTCCCTCCACCATGCTATCGTAATGCGACCGAGCTCCTGGCTCAGACGCCATCGAAGCTTGAGGCACTGACTACTCTTCCCCAAGTCACTGGGGTCTGCCACATGTGCAGCAAATGCTGCATTCTTCTCCGACACCAATGCGCCAATCGTCGCATTGATCTCATCCAACCAATCAGGCCGCTTACATTTTGCGCGCCCGATGGTCTCCTCGGCAGCAGCTGTCAGCTGGTCGTGAACGCGGTGCCACAGGTCGCCCACTGTGGTTGAGCGGTCCACATCACACAGACGTGCAGCCATCGCCTTCTCCTGCTTAATACGTTTCTCCACAGTACCGAGGGAGAGAATGTTGAATTCACGCTTATTCACGACGGGAGTGTGGTACATAGATTTACGAATGTATATGTACAGTTCGGTCCGCACCAATTTGTGATCAGTGCCACACTCAGCTCCACGCAATACACGTCTCATGCACATTGCACGCATATTGCACTGACGTACGATGACATAGTCGAGTAGGTGAGCGTGACCCCTCAGTGGGTGCGTCCAAGTTGTTATTTCACTCGCACTCAGTGCAAACGGAGTGTTCGTGATCGTCAGGCCGTGAGTGACACAAAGTGAGAGCAGCCTGTCATCGTTCGCATTCGCTGAACCAATGCCATGCGGACCGATAACTTCTGCCACTCCGAGCTGATAAAATGGGCTATCGATCATACAGTTGAAATCAACCCACGAAATAGTGGTTGAGCGATATACATACCTTCACGCACATACCTATGGACAGTCATTGCTGGATGTGTGAACACTAGACAGACAACGGTAATTCGTATCCCACGGAGGAGGAGCGCCTCCAGTTGCACGTCTGCTGCCTTCTCGTAGTCGGATTGCGTGTTTGAGTTGTGTTCGCTGCTGAGTTATTCGCAGGGTAATGGCCACTTTTGACGCGTGGAGGCGAGAGCCTCAAGGAAGGTGCCTACGCAATTCCTCGTTCTTCTTTTACGATAGCCAGCTGTTTGTGACGGTATGTTGTTGACAAGATGTAGGCGCCTTGACGCTGAATGTTTGTTTAGGTCATTTAGGTCCACCTTCTCTCCCTTGGTTCCCTCAGGCCATCGGTTCAGAGGGCGGCTGTACGGCTGTTATTATGATCCATCGTTTAGCATTGGCATCACCGTAATAAACCATTACGGCCTCACACATTTAATCTCTGGACCACACTTGACCTCCCGTCGGGTCCAAAGAATTTCTTAGCTTAAAATTCGTCGGTCACTCATAGACTTCAGGAAAAGGTAATTTGGTGTACTTATAACCACTCCAGAACGTATAGTGGAGAAAACCACCTTGAAAGAGCCATGCAAAAAGTGAGAACTTACGGCCAGTTGTGCGACTGGTTCTGTTTTCCCATGTAAATGGAAGGTTCTGTTCTAGGAGATAGTTCAAAGCAGCTGTTTAAACTACGGAAAAGTTTGGTGCAGCCCATAGGATATAGCAGGGGACTCAACATTAAACGCGAATCGAAATCCACCGCAATGTATTGATATTCATTTTGAGGTACACGTTGTGGGAATGTATTACGACAAGCAATCGCAATGTTGACCGCGATTCTCATGGAAGTGAACCTTAGTGATTTGATCACGAGGGCCATAGCTGTAACAGATAGAAATTGGGTGTTGCTCACCCGAAAACACTACACTCACAACTAACATCCCAATGGACTCGGGTTCGATGCTGCTATCTCTATCTGATTAGATGAACTAACCTCGAAAAGCGTCATAGGAGTGCCCAATTTTTTGGGGCGGGCAACACCCATTTTCTATTTGCTTTAGCTACGGTCTTCGTGATCTAAAGGTCAACATTTACTTGATGGGAATCGCGTTTAACATTATGAGTTCGTGTCGTAATCTATTCACATAAGTTGAACCTCAAAGTGACCCGCAATATCAATCATTAACCGTTGTGCCAAGCGTTGCCCCGTAGTGACCCGGTTGCTTTGGGGTAGCGGTCCCAACTAACATAGCAATGGGCCTGAGTCTGATGTCTGCTATCTCTATCTGGTGAGATGAAATAACATCGAAACACATCATAAGCGTGCAGAGTTTTCGGGCGGGCAACACCCAATTTCTATCTGCAACGCAATGTACTTTTTATTAGAGTAAGCAAAAAAGTTAGGAGTTGTATTGTTTTAGCTGCTTTGAACCCATTGCCATCTCTAACCAAAAGCTTGTCGGGGGCAGTTGTACCACTCCATACATGTACACTTTGCGGGTGATAAGTAGTTTAGTTAAAAGAAGCACGCGCATTCATACTTCTTGTTATATTCTACTTATTTGACCCGCTCCATGCTGTTACTTGCTGATTGCATGGGGTGATCAAAAACCACGCCACTTGGAGCAAGCTTATTATGCAACTCACATGGGTCAAGAAGCCACTTCTTTCCACCTTGCTTGCCTTAGCGACTTCTTAACTTTTACCGTACTTTGTCCATCTAGGTTGTTTTTCACATTCTTACACTACTGTTGCTGTGCAGTTCTACCTTAGGAATGCAATTCCAGTTGGTCATCTTTTGATATTTTTGTCCTTTCTCATACAAATAACTACACCAATAGCGTCCGTTTTAAATTAACCCAGGACCTATGTGTCTTGCTGATGCTAAAAGTTTGTTCATACACCCATAAGCAAGCGGAAGAGAGTCAAACAGTTATTCTCCAATCGATCGGATGACATAGCTTTTCTTAGGTCGGACGCACTACTGCACAGGCTGATGCGTAGCGCTGCACGTTTCGGTATGTGCTTCGCAAAATACTGCTGCAGGATTAAATCGATACGCTGCCGTCTTTGATTAGCAGTGAGGAGTCGTTGTAACTGGTGGATCCGTAGCTGCTTCACCTGTGATAACGGCATCACGGAGGAGATAACTTCATGGATAAGGAAGGCCAGTGTGGGTTTCCAGAGGAGCCATATCAGTGTTATTGAAAGGGAGGGTGGATAATGACGCGATAAGGTCGATGCTATGTATGGATCAGAGATCCTGCAAATTGGCAGTGAAAGCTTTAAACGTTTGTCCATGTTTGATCACCGGTGCTTGCGGAGTACTGCTCACATCTGATGACTTTCGACAAGAAGTCTTCTGTTGCCTCTATGGAGTGTTTGTTAAAAGTAAACCTCTTAGGTTGTTCAAGTCATGTCCTCCGTATGCCCTTTGACTGCCTTTCTCGGTGTACAGCATGCACAGTGGCTACATCAAGTTGGGCGAAACCGCGAGGTGGCCAGTCGATGACGTAGCGTGCAAGCATGAGGCAATTGACCAGGAGACTTGGTCCGGCTGGTGCGTGCCGACTTCTTGGACGGGTGTACCTGTATGGTCCACACCAGTGCTTGGAGACTATTAGGTAAGGCTCAGCCGCACAGTCAGTAACGTTCCTGCGTTCATGTCCTCTGTGGACTTGGCGACATTGCATGCTGTTGCTACACCAAACTGGGCGAAACCGCGAGGTGGCCAATCGATGACGTAGCGTATAAACATGAGGCAATTGACCAGGAGATTTGGTCCGGCTGGTGCTTGCCGACTTCATCGATGAAGGCCCCGAGATGGTGCATATCCGTAATTTGTGTTCTATCAGACATGACGCAGTCGCTCGGTGAGGCTTGTTTCTGAAGCCGGTTTTCTACAGCTGTCGGTTAATTTTCAGTTCCTACCGATTGGGTTAAAGCACTTTACCCTGATTCTGTTTACTTAGCACTACATATTTGCTTTCAACCTGGTTTCCTCACCGTGTTTTTGTGATCCTAGCGAAGCCAATCTCCGCAATTGGATATACTGCACTTCGATTGGATCATAGTCCGTCAACTGATCTGAACTTTTTCAACCGACTCATCTGAGTAATTCCGTTACTGGTTAACTAGCCATATTTTCATAAAATTGCCGACCGTACCTGTTTGTATTATCCTGATGATGCATTCGCAGAAGCGCCTCGCACTACCGGGAATAAAACATTTATTTGTTTATTTATAGAACCTAGCATTTGTAGTGAAAGTTACACGTATTTACGAGCCCCTTGTAATTGGCCTATTTGGCTAAGCGCCGAGCATGCTGATCTTCCGATTCAGCATAATCATATAGCGTACTTCCTTCCTTTGCAGATCGGTGTCGCCACAGGTCTTTTGAATACAAACTTGAGCGGTGACGCTCTCCGCAACTGTATCAATACTCTGAATACGAAGGGAATCGTTGTCGGAGACCGATCAAAGGAAGCTTTCCTGCAATGTGGCGCAAACAGTGCCTTCTCTACGGACAGTATTTGGTATGTAGATGAAACAGCAATCTCGCCAGAATCTGCCATGCACTACAACAACATTTCTTCAGCTGCCAACTGGAATTTGGCACTTTCCGAACTAACTTCCTGCCCTCCACCAAAGCTTTGTCCAGTAAAAGGACGTGAACACTTGCTCTATATGTATACCAGCGGAACAACTGGACTGCCCAAGGTATATGTTACCAAATGAGAGTTCATTGAAGACACTAGTTTACAAATCTTATTTTTAGAATACAAACTTTAGAGACTATATCCTTTCTTAGACAGTCGCATCTGTGGCGCTTTCAACTTCATGCTTAAGCAAATCATGTTCCTCCACAGATTGCTCAAGATGGTCTTTTATCCCATCAAATTGCATCTAACTTGCCTAAATGCCACTAAAAAGTGCTTAGTGTTCGTTGTCTGGGGAATCCAAAATTAGCCGATAGTATGACATATTGAGTGCACAGAGTGGGATGCTGCCATTGGACGATTTGAAGTTGATCACTTAATGAACAGTAGCGTTTAGGTGGTTTCCCTTTTGTCGGATACAGTTTGATAGCGTTAAAGAGGAACATTACTTCCTTAAGGAGTAATTTGAAAGCGTTATGGATGCAGTTGACTGAGAAAGGGTATTTTCATCACTGATCCAAATCGGCTGAGTTACCTCGCAGCCATCCAACTTTCTAAAACGGACGGTTTATTTAACAGGATACAATTGTCAGAGTTCCAAATGGTAACAACAAAAACAACAACAGCAGCAGCAACGACACAACAACAACAACAACGCAGAGCTGGGAACATGCCGCAAATGCTCACAGGAATTCCATCAGATCTAGACCGTGAGTGTTAACATTTGCCACTTCAGCTGGCCCTGGCCCGTAGCTATTCGGATCGCGAACTTGCCTTGTAATCCCAGGGCGTGGGTTGGAGCCTGTGTAGAGGACTGCGCAACCCTCGCAGTAGCCTTAGCCCACGTGCGTCCGGTGGTGGTCATGCAGCAGCGAAGCGTCGGTACAGCGTACGGACGTATTGCTGATGACTGACGTTTTGTAGTTTTGACATATATTAATGGGATGCCCCATCTCCCCATCTCCATTCAATTTCGCTATTGCATGTGTCCTATTGTGCGCTCTGGAAGGTCTCCAGCGTTTTAGCTTAGAGCTTCCTCCAAGCAACCGCTCAACTGACTTGGACCATGTTGAAGTTATTGCGTTGCACGGTGACGACCTTCAGCATAAGCAGGTCCTTCTAGACTGCTTGCGGTCGAAGCTGCCAAGTATGACATGACCTTAGTCCCCACTTCAGGATTAGTGCCCTCCTGTTCCAATGTTGACACTTGCAAGCACACAGCTTGAACAAGTGGATAGTTTTGTGTTCCTGGAGAGGCGCGTTTATGTTGCTGATACCAGCAGAAAAAGGATTTTTTTTTATATTGCCAAAGCCCTGCTCATGGTTCTCTAAACAAATGCGTCCATGACGTCAGCATGGCGTTTCACTCTCGGTACTGTTGTGTAGAAGTGATTCTTTGCTGATTGGTGGGGTTCACATTGCGGTTGCTTTCATTCTTTGACAACAGTTGCTTGCGGTAGATTGTTCGTATGTGGTAGAAACACAACATTTGCAATGACGATGTTAGACGTCGCTTCTTAAGTATTATGGTTGGCGGCACCCGGACTAGTATTCGCCTATCACTGTGGCCTCCGGTGGTACAGCCACAGGACGCTTGCGCCTACAGATGGACCATGAATGGCTTGCGCTGTACCACCCACAGTTTTAACTACTACTAGCCCCACTTTCGACAGGCTAATACCGCTGCACCGATTGAGAAGTCTAATTCCCATCCGATGCATTGCCTTGCGAGCGACTGTCATGTCTCGCTCCCTTCCCTCGTGCAAGCACGTACTCGAAGAAATCGCGCGCTGGGCTGCCTACGAGGTTGCAACAAGTCAAATCACATAATTTCCTTTTAGACCTCATCGGTCCAGTATATTTTCCGGGTTAAGGAACCAAAAATGTGGTTAGGTCTCGAACGGCGTGCTCTGAGGAAAATTGCGCTGTCTGAGAATCAAGTTGAGTTGGCGCCACTGATTCAGACCAATTCTTGTAACTTGCATAGAAAAAGAGAATTTCACACAGATCAAAGACAAATAGGCACAGAAATGAAACAAACTGACTTATTCGGGAAGGTAAGTGCGCAATTCCCCACAAGTAACCGTGTGCCTTGTATCAGAACAGTCTCAGTTACAAGCAGACTAATGTTTTTCTGTGTTGCAGGACATTTGTTACTAGCGCTTGTTTCACACCACTCACACTTCCCGTGATTTTTTGAGATCTATAAATTCAAACTAGCACACAGCCGTGAGTTGAACTGTATCGGTGTGTTTTGCCATCCTCCGTCGGCCTGTTCCGTGTTCGCCAATATACTACTCTTCCGGTGGTTTATCTTTTGAGTCGCGTGGCGCAATCTAGGAAGCTGATAACTTGAACCCCTGAGAACACAACAAATGTAGAACACCCTTGGCTGCAAACCCTTGTGGACATGATGCGGAATGGGGTGTAATGCGTTCTGTTTGAATTTAGGCGTCGCTTCTTCTTGTCGATGCCGCAATTATTGAACAAAAATAGTAAAATGCATAAAAATACAAAAGAACTTCTTTTCCGTCTCCCTCTATGTGCACTTTTATTCCATGCTTTTCCATGCTTTATGTCTACTGTATAGACAGTTGCAATTATATATATATATATATATATATATATATATATATATATATATATATATATATATATGTTGAATAGTAAAGTGCCTCCCTTCCCTAACCTGTTATCTCCGTTGTATTGCGGCAAATTAGCTGCGGTGTGTCTCACACTCGGCTAATGTATATTCATGATGATGTTTGAGTAAAGTGCCTGGATAGCTCAGGGCTAGTCAGCAAGGATACAACGGAGGATCTAGGGAGTTTGCACGCCTTAAAAACGGCAAACCCTCAGCCTCCTATTAGGGTGGATGTTATTAATGATCACTCGGATAGCCTTTTGATTTACTTTTAGTGAGGGTTAAACGCGGGCTTCTGCGCTTGCTTAGAAAAGGCGGAAGGGTAAAAGGTGCTCAATAGAAAGCTAGATAAGTTGCATCTTTCGTTTGCCCATGTCAATTGCTCTACAACTCAACCGCTGCCAGCGCCACGTAGGTAAAGTCTAGTACGATCCTAGTCTATAAAATCTGGATGCTAAAACTGTGTGCTATAAATACCCTGCGTCGAAGTGACTCGTTTACCGAAAGCGATGTAGTTTTAAGGGGTGCCACTGAGTCATCTGTTGCGCTCCCGAAGGAGTGTATACTAGATGAACTACAGCGGTTCAAACTTTCTCTTAGCTACTGTCGCCGGAGTTTCCCGGGGTTACTGTGTGAAAACTTACTAGACTTTGTATCACGCCAGTTGACAAGTTCAATCTTTCATTTCGCCTATTTCGAGTTGTTCTAGCGACGCCGGAAGAAAAGCCAGGCTCTCTTGCGGTTCACTTATAAACTCATTGGCTCCAAAGTTTCAAGTTCAGGTGGGACTGGAACGTTAGTGAACTCCCGTGAGTTCCTTATTGAGCGGACCGTTGAGCATAGAGTTGAAAAGGTGTTCCGAGGTCTTGGTTGTCATACAACGAAACATCCGGAGCAGTCCCTGATTAACCAATTAATGTCCACGTTTCCTGCACTAGCAGCCCCTGCTGTGCCAGTTACGTGAAGGAAGCAAAATATAGCAAGAGAAATCAAAGAGAAAACATAAGGAAACTCTTTGGAAACAAGGAGCATGCAGAAAATAACCCGAAGTATAAAGATTAGAGTTAGTCAGTCTGTTGTATCCCGAAAAAGCAGCAGACCAGAGCAGCACCGGAACATATGTATGGAAAAACTGTCTGCCCATACGTGCGTTACAATTAAATCGATCGACGTTCGAACTGCAATCAATCAAATGCAAGGTCACATGACTGCCAAACAGTGCTAAATAGAAGTGTGAGTAAAATAAGCGAATCCAGGGCAAAAATAAAGCAAAGTTTTTGCCCAAGACACAGGCTGACTAGCGTCGTAGTCAAAGCGTTTAAAACGTTGGTGAGAGCTACATTCGAGTGTGGCCTGAATATTTTTAATCTACTCAGTAGTGCACAACACGGATTCCGGAAAGGATTTTTGTGTCTGAAGTGTATATTGGTAACTCGAGAAACTTGGGCTGATGCAGTGAACAATGGCCTCGTAGTGGACATGTTTTGCGTGGATTTCTAGAGAGCATTTGACACAGCTCTACACTTGAGGCTATGACAAAAGCTGTGATCTTACGGTGTATCGGAAAACGCCCTACACTGGGTGTCTACATTCTTGCAGAGAAAAGAACAATGTGTACGCGTGGGTCGCAGCCTATCAGTTGGGCAAGCGATCCTTGGGGGTGTCCCACAGGGCTCCGTCTTTGGATCGATGCTGTTCTCCATCTATGCAAACGATCTCCCTGGGGAACTTGGAGCCCTAATCAGAGGACAATGAATACGATGGTTGACAGCCCTGCTCAAAAATGGGTACGTCAAAGTCAAGTACTCGGCAGCTGTGATTTTGTGGCTTACGAGAAACCGTTTACGCTTCTCATATTTCGTTTGTAATTATTAATGATCTCAAAGCAATTCAAAAATCGGGTTATCCCCTTAGGTTTTAAGCCCGAGGTGGAATGGAAGACAAATATAATGGAGATGAAGGGACAACGAAAGTGGTAGTGAGCATGGTATACCAATCGCTACAGCATAAGGAACAAATGGGAAGAATTGACAGTAAGTTGCAAGGTTGCTGACATTGTTAAATGTCACTGAGACCTGACTTTCACGGACTGATTCAGTCAGCGACATACTGTAGAACTTCGCCGAACATCGAATGGATATGCCTGCAAAAGGAGTTCGTAAGAGTGTAGTTGTGCTCATTAAGAGCCACTATGTAAATTGGCAGGCTGCCTTCTCCATGGGTACTTCGGATATTCAAGTTATCACATGCTTTCTTTGTGCACCGTAAATATATATATATATATATATATATATATATATATATATATATATATATATATATATATATATATGGGCTGGAGAGCCTACGGTGCGCTGAAGCTGGTGGTGGCTAGATCCTGACAGATTGTCTACCCACTGCTACTACTGTTCTGCCAT